AATTATAATACTGTAAGAAAAAGATAAACGTCGCAAGAAGCAAACTTTCAAGCTATCTCTTATTATCTGTTGTTATTCGCATCGATATTTTTCTTAAAGATCTTTACATTTGACGCATTAATAAACGAGCAATAAAAACAGCTATATAAATACGGTGATAGTATACAAACTCAGAGATTGACAACTAAACTGTAAAAACTGTTCATTAGACATATTTAACGTGAACAAACTGTTATTATTGCACAATCGTAATGTTTTCGTAATCGTTAAGATATTGTTTTAAATATAAATGCAAACAAGAAACTCCAAAGAATATTCTAAATGAAATAAGTAAATATATATACGTGTATGCATGTAACTATTCATTCAAATCAAATTTTTGTGCTAGTATATCGTTATAAGAAACGATGAACGAAATTCGTTAGACTGAATTTTTTTCGAAGTCAAAAGCATCGACAGTCAACTGTTCAAACTCGTTTGCTCAAAATTCGCTGTGACATTTTCATTTTCGACGGTAACAATGAGTATGATCGAATTATATTTCAAAAAAGGATCAATGTGCAATCAAAAAAATTGATCTGGTATCAATGACTTTGTCTTTGATTACCTCGAGGTAATCCTTATACCTTGAGGTATAGTTGTACATTAAATATTCGTATGAAACAATGTCACTCGAATAGTCTTATCCGAGCTAATATCGTTTGATTTCTATATGAATTCCTTTCAGCATAATTCTTCTAACTATTATTATACAATCTGGACTAGATTTACGATCCTCAGGATAAGTAAGGTTCAACGTTTCATTTCTTTTTCCTTTCTTTTTCCGTCTTTCATTTGCAAACTGGCCACATTATTTAATTGAAAATGTTGTGAATCACTGGTATACAAAATATTTCTTCTACTTTTCAATTGCACAATACATTGGACTCATATCAATTATTATATTATGCAAATAGATAGTATATAAAATATTCTTCGATCATACAAATGTTAGAATGAAGATTTCAAGATGATATCTTCAATATTGAAGAAACATATGAGAATAATCTTTTCAGTTCCGTATTTATGAAACAGTAATATTATTTTTTGACAATAATATGAGGAATGTACAAATACCGATAATTAATATTAAATGAGAATTCTTATGGTCATGGAACAAATATAAAAATTATTGTTAGAATTAGAAGTATAAACGAATATAAAAATCAGTATAATTTTACAGAACAAATCTGAAAAGATTAGGCCTATTAGATATAAGATAAAAAAGAATTTATTGCATCTACTGAAAAATATTGTGGCTTATTTTTATAAAATTCTAAAATATACCTGATCGAACTCTTCAAGTTACTGGCTATACAATAAATTTTATTTTTCGATTATATTTTTATTCCTTTTACGCGAATCGAAATATATTCATGTTGAGGTAGCAAATCCGATATTGTGTGTTCAAAGACGAATGACCTCAATACTTGGTCCCATTAGAAATCAGAATTTTCACCGTATAAATGATATAACAATTCCAAAGTAAATACATTCTAAATGATACAACAATTCCAAAGTAAATACATTCTAAATATTAACACTAAAACTATCGACGATTAAAGCATAAAATTTCCATCAGAGACATTAAAGTAACAGAATAGAAAAACTTTATAATACAATGGAATACGCAAGCTTTTATTTATCTACTACGAAAACATCATTTAAATCTCTAAAAACACACTGTTTTGCATCAAGAAAGTTTCTAATAAAAATTATAAATTGTTCGATTTGACCATTTTGGTAGTTCTAATGTTAATGAAATATAATTCAATATCGTTAAGAATAAAGTAAATAAAAATAATCGATATTGAATGTAAGATATTAGAGAAATAATGTTCCTTGAAAAATTTATCTATTTAAATCTACTTAATAAAATACCTAACATACAGAATCTCATTATGAGGAATTGATATGAATGACAATGAAAACCGTTACTTATCAAACAGCTATACATAGTAAAGATTTAACGTATTAATCTAATTTTTTAGCTTCGTTATTGATAAAATTATATATATTGCATTTATATTGTATATATATTTTTATATATAATTTTATTAATAACAAATATTAATTCCTTCCATCTTTATCCTTCATAAACTACTTTAGTTATATTAAATTTATATCAAATGTTGTGCAGGCGACAGACTTTCCAACGGATTTTTCTAACAGTGAAAAATAATTAAGCTATGTATGTAAACAGAAAAAAAATCGAATATAGTTCAATTAGAGACAATCACGTGGACGTCAATGTCTACCCGATAACAGGAACCTCGTAGGTACACAGGAATGTTTCCTATCTTTGAAACACGAATACATACATCTAAAAACTATCGCCATAAAAGGCATGTAAAAATACCATCATTAGAAATAATAAAATATCGGTAAATTTTGTTTGAAAGAAGAAAAGAATCTTAGCGAATTACTAACTTTCTAATCAAAATGATTTTGGTTTCTTATATTTTAATATTATGTACCTAAGTGTTTGAATTGACATTATGCTTGGATATAAGGGAATTTATTTGAGGCAGTTAAAATATAAATAAAATTATTACTCTTAAATCGATTCATAAAATTAATATCTCAACTCTAAATATTTCAAAAACTAATTGCGTACGTTTAATGATAATAATTATAAAAATAATTGGTAATATGTGCATACCACAAGAAAAAAAGATAATAAACGTATTTTTCTAAATAGTTAATGATATGTAAAAAAAATTAATTACAAATTAATATATATGTAGATATGAATAATATAAAGAATTTTATCTGCCTCAAACTATAAATTTAATAAAATAAAATAATTTAAATGACATTGAAATTATACACAACGGCCAATTGTAACACAAGTACTAGAACCAAATTCGAAGCATGGTATTGCAAACGAACATTTCGAATCTGAAAACAGTGTTTAGTTACAAGTTGGTCGTTACAAGGTTTTTTCTATAACTGCTGACAAGGTACGGTCTGAGGTGATAGCGCCGGTGGCAATGGTGCATTTTCTTCATGAATCATTACAAGTTTACTATACTTCACCATTCTCCTCCTATGTTTTTGCTGTAAACAAGATCTTACCTATCAATTTCTTAATGATATGATATTTAAGAGGCACAAGTTGTATGACATTAATTACCCTAATGAAAGTTAAATATTTTTTGCTGTGAAAATGTCGTATATTTGATTACAAAATATCGTCAAAAAATAGTAAAATATAAACTGTGATAAAGATACTATTAAGATCAACAAAGAAATTATTCTCATAAGATCAATAAAGAAATTATTTTTATCTATTTTTTCTATAAAATATTTTACAACTGCTAGTATTCTACCGAATTTTAACATTTAACATAAGGTCTTAAAACTATATTTTACCTGTGACATTGTACCAGCTGTCCAGCTTCCACTACTACTTCCACTGTCACTGCCACTAGAAGTGATTCCATCTTCGAGAACAAGTTTTGTTTCGAATCCCTCCACTTCTAAGTCCAAGTAAAGCTGACCCAATTGATCGTTTACCAAAAGAGGTTGATTGAAATTTTTTAAGGCATCCATATCAGCTTGAAGTACTTCGTTCAGAGTCTTGGGGTGTATTTGATACTCATATATCAATTCTGGAGTTAATTGAACACCTTCGAGCCATGGTGGCTCTTTTCTTCGTTTACCGTAATGTTGTTTCATACTCTCCTACAAATAAATATAAGTTTCATATTCTTCTATAAATATAATATCTTTTTCTTTATTAAAAAGAACTTTACGTATCTATAAATTTACTATGATTGAACCTTTTTAAATAACAAACAACGATATTATTATTTACCTCCGGTAGATATTCAATTGACTTTTGGTCCGGATTACAACTACTATCACTACTCTTATATAAGAAACTACTGTAAAAGCTTGATGAACTCGATTCGTCTACGGTAGTATAATCGTTCTGTTTGTGGATCTTTTGATTCACAGGCGTTGGTGCATCCACTAAGCTCGAACAACCTCCATCATTGCTCACACAAGAAGAGAATAGCTCACCAGGTGACAGTACCTAGTTATTATTTAATATTTAATATACTCACAAATCAAACCGGGAAGGGGAATATGAAAATGTTATTTTACTTTTTTAGAAGATTCTGACATGGCCATAATGCTGCCCGGTTCAGCTTTTACACTTGTCGCTTGACTCGCCGGACGTTTTCGATCGGAGCATTTGTTCACTGTAGACTGATTATTTTCACGCGTGGCTGATGTTTGTTCAGGTATCAGAAAAGGTCTGTACATCATGCCCGTTGACGGGGCACCTATTACTGGAGGATAAATGACACCGGCCATCGTTGTCGTCATATATGAAACTGGCACAAACACTGGAAATTAGTTCCGACGTTTCAATTTTTAATTATTGCCTAAAAATGTTCTCTTGAAAACTCATTTATTCAAATAAATACATACTGTAAGGATTTGATTGCGGGGGCTGCATTGATTGAGGTGGACTAAGTTTCTCCTGTAAAGGCGATGAAACTGCAGGACTTTTAATTTGTGGAACAGGAACATAATATACTGGTATCATCGGCGGCAGTATTGGTATTCTGGGTATTGCTTGTGAATTCATACTGAAATTAGAGAGACCACAATTTCGATTCAAACAATCTATTATCCGTTCTCCACATTCTTATCCTTGCTTGAGAGAAGGAACACTCACTT